ATTTCTCTCTAGTCCTAAAAAACTGAGTATTTCTTGCATTTTTGCGATCTAGCCCTGATTTCCAAACGTTTGTTAAGGGTGTTTTAACACCAAATTAATGTGAAGTATCATATATTATCACCAACACGCATTAATAAAACAGTTATATCACCTAATGGAGCGTGAAAAATATAAATTTCTAATGAAGCTCCATGTGAAACTGGCATATGAATACAGTATCTGTGACTGAATTGCAGATGCTACAGAGGGCTTCTATGAAAAAGGTACTACAAAATGTTGTAACAATAAAATCAGCAGTCAAACCAAACTCTTTGCTTCCAATTTTTTTTTAAGCCAAAATGTTCCTGCTTTCAAAGTTCAAAATCTTCATGAACTTCACCTTGCTGAGAGCCGACGCAGGTGAAATCCCAGGGGGATGCTTCCAGCCATCACTACAGCCTAGTCAATAGAGACAAATCTTGCAGGTGGAACAAACGGCCTACAAAAGGGAAGGCGATGGGTGTTTTGCGCAGCTTTCTGCTCGCTCCTGGCAGGCTCCTGGCTTGCACAGATGAGTGTGGTGCCAGTAGATGGCACTCCAGAACGTGTAACACCGGCGCGCGGGCTGGCTGGGTGCGGGCAATGGCCTCCACTGGCCACCCCTTGCGCTCTGTTGGAGTCGAGATACTCGGAGAAAGGAGAATAAGAGCTAATGCCTCCACAGGGCTAAATACCTCCCAGCACCAGCTGGTGTTGTATCTTCTCCAACATATGCTCACTTTGTATATCCAACCTATTTCAAAAGCAGTCGGACAGACCTATCATGCAGCACCTTAGTGTTAACCCTTGTTGGCGGTGGTCTTACCCTTCTTTACAGCCCTTGTAGGGGATTCTGGAAGCACAGGAAGCTTCCTTCAACTCTTCCAAACTTAGGTGAGGACAGTCAAACCCCAACCTTTCAGTTTGTAAACACAGGGTAAATTAAGGCAAAGGTTTATAGTTAAATAGCTTGTCACCACTGTGAGCCAGGTTTTTTGTTCCTCGTAGCACAAGCTTTATTGCTGTTATACAAATTCACCAAAGGCAATATTTTGCCCTGCATCTTTGAAACACAAGTCTTGAGAGTTATGATGCAAAGAAGAGATGTCATGAAAGCAGCACCAGGCAGAACCCATCTTAGAACAGAACTGAGCAAAACTAATTACCTTCTGTTCTTCGAAAATGTGCTTTTCCACACAAAATGGCTATATAATAGGTGAATGTTACATGGTAAAAAAATTTCATTATAATCAAGAGTTCAGTGGTCATTTCCATGGACATTTTGCTTATATTTTCATTAATAATATAAATTATAGATATCCTAAGACATAACATTACGTACCACTTTTTAAGGGCATTCATGATTTAACTAATCTGAAACTGCATGCTTATGTTTTCCATAATGGCTATCGAATGCAATGTCAAGATGTTCTTAAACTGAACTATAAAGCACTTAATTCAGAACATGCAGGCTATTTCTCCATCAAAGACTATGAGAATAATTGTTATCAAACTAAAAATGCAAGAAATATGTGGTTGCTCTCAGTGTTATACCGTGTTACCAGGTCTGAGCACAATCATTAACAGGAAAGTTGTCGCTGGCCATGAAATACACAAGAACGTTTAACTGCCGCCCCCAGTGACCATGAAAATGCAGAGAGTGATGATTTAATTAATAATCCCAGAGATACCAGGCAGTGCTCAAAAACTAAAGAACTACCAGCATTATTGCTGTGAAGAAGGAGAGAGTCGGAACGTTCCCACCAGCATGCTCAGCCTTACGCCTTTGCTGTCAAACATGATAGCAGAGATTATGGCTTGGAATCACCAGATTATTTCATATAGGCCTTTGACAACAGCGTTGCATCATATAGTGAAGGGTCTGTTTCCTTTCTTTGTTTCAAATGCCTTACTTTGGTCCTATGCTTATGCAGACTTCAGTCAAAAAGCATTTCTCATTTACATGACCTAGATAGAATAATAGTGAGAAAGCTGTTCCTTGATCTTTTTTTCTCTTGATTTGCTATATTCAGCCTGGAAGGAAAACAGAGTCATGGGAACACATTGTTTCTTTTATGCTGGCATTAGGAAGCAGTGCTAGGTAGATTGGGGGATAGATCTAGGCAGAAGCCTTGCAATAAATGGACAGAAAAACACATGGAATAGCTTTAGGGATTACACAGTTTTGCTTATTTTTTAAAAAAAGTTTCTTGTTTAGTGACTTTTCAAACTTGATTTTACTACAGTGACCTGGAGCTGACAATAACTATAAGGTCAGTGATTTAACTCTAGCATAGCTATGTTTAGAACCATGTCAGTAGTTAAGGGCGAATACCTCAGTGCGATGGGTGTCTTAGTCCATGATTACTCATTTCAGAGTCATTACCGCAGCTGGCATACTGGACAACCTATAGTAAAAAGTGCTATGAACTGACTTGAACTGTTATGGAAATAGTTTGAACACATCTTGACTCCATTTGGCCTTAGCTGTTTCTCCGTTGTATCCATTACTCAGATCTGTGGCCCACCACAGGCTCCTTTTCTGATCTAGACAGATGTTTCTGTGACATCTCATATGACAAGGTATGAGAAAGAAATCTTTCTTGAACTAACAAAGCAAGAAGCAGAGGAAGTACCCAGGTACAACTGTCCATGGACTGCCATGATGAACATACCCATGAGGCAAGTTAAAGGAACATTTGCCTGGGTTTAGAATGATTCGTGACAAGCTGTGGCTATGTGCACTGAACTATGCAACGATAATGAAGCTGAATAAAACATCTGCTCAGGAAGGAAAGAAACAGAGTTATTTTAAAACAGAGTTTTTAACAACTTTAAATATTTTATTCCAAGAAGTAGAAGAAAAAGCAGACAGTTGTCCATAAGGCTGTAGAATCCCCAAATACAGACAAACTGTGACTAGCAATAACAAAGAAAAGGAGATCATCTGGTAGTTAAGATCTTTCTTAACTACCATTATCATTAAGATAAATGCCACTGCTGAAGCCTGTTGGCGCATAACAGTATGAATAAATGAAAACACAAACCATCTTTGTGGTGAGGAGCCTCAGGAACAGCACATGAAATAGTTTTCAGAAGTTCTTATCCTGAAAATGGAAGGACCGATTCCAAAATAATGGGTTTGGGGCTCTTGTCATCCAAGTGCAATTAACATAGATGGAAGTATGCCCACTGATACTGGGGGCATACTCCCACACAACCACCGGCACTGATGGGCTTGAATTCAGCCTCCATCCTCTTTCAAAAATATGTCAATATGTATATATATATATATAAAAAAGTCTATCCAGTCAAACATGGGTAGGAAACGTGAGACAAAAGGGCATTGACAGAGGAATTAGGGAAATAATCCAAGCGATCATGAATGAAGATTATTTCATGTAATCGTGTCCAAATATTAAATTCATACAAAACAGAGCTTACCACAAATTCTTCCATGCTTGTCTTGAACTTAAAAGAACTTATGAGAGGTGATCATTGGGTGAAAAAGAATTTAAGAAAGCCTAGCCCCCAGACAAACAGCTTGTGTGGTTTCCAATCTCCAAGCTAACAGAAATATTTATTCTACATATCTCAATTCTAGCCCACTATTGTATAAAGAAAGAAGTATTGTGTGTTTGAAATCTTTGTCATTATTATGTCCACTGTAAACAGCTGTTTAGGCAGAACTAAAGCTACTGAAAGTGGTTTCCTAAAACTCATAGAGGATACTGACATGCTCTTTCTTGAAGGAGAATTGATGTGAGTCCTTTTATAAAGGAGATCTGTGCTCTGAGCACTCAAAATACATCATAGAATCTAATCGTACTACTTCCCAAAAGGGAAGGATAGAGTGCACCACTGAACTGAGAGTGGTACATCTCTTTGGAGACATTTCGGGGGAGGGGGGGGGATGATGATGCCTGGCTGCATCCTTATTTATATAAAGAACCCTGAAACAGTATAGCATGAATCCTGCATTTGTATTTTATGTTCCCCCATATGAGAGAGAGAGGAGAGATCTCAGCCTGTGTAAATGAGGCAGACATGGTAATGATATCATCTTCTTACCCTGATGTGCTCGTGGAACTTGGAGCAGTGCAGGCTGAACAGATGAAAGATTACCGAAAAGGAGGTGGAACTGCTTTGTTCTGCCTTTTTTCCCTGAAACCTGAGTTTCTCCCCCGAAGATAAAATAGTGGGGATGCCTGTCTCAGACAATGGGTCATACAGAAAGCATACATCTATTCAGTGACATGATGCAGAACTTGTGCTGCGTGAGGTGCAAAGAGTCACAAATGGGTCCAAAATGGGCTGTTTGGTACATCTCATTGCAATGTTTCACCTTCATCTTATGGAAGGGTAGTGAACTTCAGTATTAAGAATATTTAAACATTTTTTTTTCTCCCTAAAAAAAGAGAGGTTGGCTAATAGTCCCACTGCTTTGAATTAAAATACTTGCTATACTTGTCTGTATTAAAGTGCTGTAGTAGTAAAAATTGACTCTTCCATGCTGTCATTCTTTCACTATAAAATGAGCAAATATATTGGCTCTGAATGTGGCCAGAAAAAAAGAGTTTTCTTCCAATAGTTTTTTTCTTGGGTAAGACTTTTCATACTGTGTTTGACATTCTGAATTACATGATTATGTAGTATAAGACTCCAGAAACATTTTGTATTGTAGAGATGGAGATGCTCAGCATTTTGCCAGATGCCAAGTGATATTCTGATATTTATCTTTTCACTTTCAACTGAGTGACAGCATATTCACAATGAAGCCAAGACAATCTGCTATCAAGTTACAGTAATGATATTTTCCCTGATGAAGATCCCAGAGCTTGTTGGAATAAAGCTCCTTAAAACTCTGTGTCTGGAATAGCTCCAGCTTGAATTGCTCTCTGTGTAATATCATTTTATATTTGTGCCAGTCTAATAAGTAGATCACTGGGTAGAGGCTTTGGTAAGTAAGTCTATACGTACTGCACCATTTCCTGGCTCTGTGCTCCAGTGTGTTGCAGGCTGTGTGCAGTGGGGGAGGTGCCAGCGCTGATCAAGCAGTGTAATTTTATACATTACTGAATCAGTGCAGGAGAAACCTGGAGGGACAAAGCATCATCTTCTCTTTGAACTGCACTGTAAAATCCTACAGCTCTCTTAGCCTAGCCATGCTTTGATACATTTTTTCTCTTCTTTTTCTGATTTTGGTGTGAATGATAAAGTGATCTGATGATGGCTCTCGTTATGGAACCTATTAGCAAGTGGACGCCCAAGCAAGTAGTGGATTGGATGAAAGGTATGATCATTTATTACCATGTATTGTCTTTACTTTGGATCCTTGCAATTTATGTATTTGCTTTTGTATTCTTTGTTTTGGGAAGAGTTTATTCAGTTTAAATCATCTGTATGCTGCTTTGCATAGTAGTTTTAAAGACACAACTGAGCAGAGAGGCTGTTTCAGCTGTGCAGAATGTTGTTGGAATTTCTGCCGAGAACTGAGTGGGGATCAAATGCATTTGTTGCTAAATGCAGACATAAAGTGTGTGTGTCTCATGGCTCCATTATGCATTGCACAGTGTAACATTAGTATGTTTGGTTGCTTTAAATTTGCCCTGATTAGGTCTGTTTTGCTCATATCAGGTGATCTGATGCAGTGCCTGTGCAGCACTTGTGTGTAGTTTTAGGGTACCACAAGGAGCATAAGGTGCCGGTGGCTGGATGAGGAATTGTGCTTCTTACTGACATGATGTCACATTAGTCCTGATGTGTTCACGCTTCCCAGCTGCTCCTGCTCGTGCCGCTGCCATGTCCAGCACACCCGGTCCCTGTCCGTCACTGGTACCGTGGACAGTGCAGCCCCTGCCGTGCGTGGGGTGCGTGAGGGGGAGCACGCAGGGCTGAGCCTGGCTTCGCTGGGAAAACTCTTCCCGGTAACTTGATAGGAATGATGATTTCCCTGCACATTTGCAGTTTCACAACACAGCCATAAGCTGTGACATGTTTTGCCTCACAATGCTCGGCTGTGCTGCAAACAGATTGGATTGGATGGGAGGGTGAAGAATTGTTCGTGATGATGAGTGGTTTAAATTTCTCCAGTGTGGGGGAAAATGTATTTCCATGGTAGGATGCATTAGTGTTGTTATTCATGACTTCTGATGAGCTGTCTGTCTTAGAGGCAAATAATTTCTGCTCCATTATATAAGGAGAAAAGGTGCAAATTTTGGGTTTATGGTACACATTTCTGTAATGTGATTACTGAGCTTATTAGAGGGTTGAGTCAGATGCCCACTGTAATATCCTTAAAGCTTTCAAAGTATTATCATTATTAAGAGAACGGTTCTAATTTCATTTTGCTGAGATGCATCTCCGTACTTAACTGAAATTGGGCTCTTTAGGTGCTTATCAGACGCAGTACAATTATGAGCAAAGCATTCTTTTACAAGTATATAGTAGTATGAAGCAAATAGTATCTTGGAGAATGTATGGAGTTTTTCTCAGGTGTTTGAGAACTCAGGTTATTTGGGAGGTCTTAAGCAGGTCATCAGGAAGGATCCTGAAACCGTTAGATACAACACTGATTCCCATTCTCCAATGTCATTACTTGAAATCACATCCTAATGTATGTGCAGAGGAGAGTTTTCAGTACATACAAGATTTCAAAAGTGGGCAGGTAATCATGCTATTTTAACTCATGACTTCAATTATAGCGTATGTTAAATGTCAAAGTGTGTGTAAGACTTGTTGCTAATTTAAAAATACTTCCTGCTGCTTTTTTACCCTTTACTAATTTACCCTAACTAATTACATCTCAGTTAACATGAACCCATAACATCTGTAGTGCATACCATGGGAAGCAAGAAGATCACACAAACAAAAGGTTTTAAAATGTGTGGAGTTGCCTGACAGTAAAATTTGTATCCAAGACTGCATCCTGCATCCATAGGGCTGTGTGGAGTAGGCAGTGATGTCTGCGTGCCTCTGGGCTTTAGCATAAATGAGGATAATGCAATAAGCATTGAAGTATTTACAAGAGATATGTGTTCCTTGGTAACATGAGTGCTACACATCCACAAACGTAACAGTTGCCCATTTGTCCGTTTTTACCATGCTAATATTGCAAGCCCTTCTTTTATCCTGGTGTTTACCTTTATAAATGCATTCTCCAGCTGTAGCCAAAGAAAAGCCCTAACACACATAAATGAAAGCGTACCAGAGTTAGTTTCAAAGTACTTGTAAATACCTCGCTTTACAAATAATGCCCAGTTGTGGCCACTGTTTGCCTGTAATTTACATGTATTCTGTATGTCAGCTCTATTAGCTGTAGTCATTATGCTAAACAGCTATCAATACATTGGAGAGGTCAAAGGTCTGCATAGGTAGTGATTTTCAAGTGATGAGATAGCTTTTATGCATTTCTTCTACACTGAAAGGTACAATTCTGTGACAGTGTTAAAAAGATAAAGACATTTTAGGAAAATTGTCACGCTGTGAATGTGGAGTGTTATCTCTACTACAGATAGCAACATGTTAATAAACAACGTGACAAATATGGCAAGTGTAATGTGCCTTTTTTGGCTTAAAAACATGTAGTCAATTAGCTTTATTTGTAAAGGGAAAATTTCATAGGGAAATTATAGTAATATGCCTTTTAAACTTGAGTTTATCAGATTATTTAAGCTATCGTAGCTTATTTATAAAAGCTGTTAGCAAAGTGCATGTTTTAAAATCAAATAGCAGTGAGTACCAGCAACATCAAATAATTGAAGAGAAGATAAAAGAAAGTCACAAAAATAATACTAATGTTTTGAGACCTGGCTGCCCAGGATGTGTCCTTGTTCCAGTGTTCTGTTACCAGCAGTAGCAGTAGCCTAAGCCCCAGCCAGGAGGGGACACCCTTCTCGTCTCTTCTTCCTTAAGGAAACATTACCTGCCAAAAAGGTAAAAACTGGTAGGGTTAAAGGAACATTATTATGACAAGCTGGCATCTTGTATTTACCCACAGTTCCTTTCTCAGGAATGCATTCAACTGGAAATCAGCTTGGGAACTGTGGACAACCTGAAAAGGCCATGGAAGTCTTTTGAAATTGATTCTTGAGGTTTACAGGGGATCTAGAAGTTAAGGCTCCAAATAACTTTGTGCTAAAAAGTTGTCTTCATACTAACATGTTCTGTAAAGTTTAGCAAATACACAGCAGAAGTCACTGTGGTTCAAAAGAATGTTTTCAAAGGAATGGAAAGTGTTAATTGTGAAGATACTTTTAACAACAGTTTTCAGGCACTATTCCATTTTTTGCCCAGATTTCCTAAAATTTTAAATTTCTCTAAATGTTTTTTGCTTCAGAAATAAGGGAGTGTTTCTGCTGGTATATAGCCATTTCTTACATAACTCAATTTTTTTCCTGGGGATATCTACTATGGACCCAAAGGTTTTTTAAGAGAAAGAACTTTGCCTTGCTCAAATTCCATTGTGGCACTGTTGGAAAATAAATACAGCCATAGAGCTTTCAAGTACATGAAGAATCAGAGTGGTTTTTTAACCTGGTCAGGTTTTCCTGTGATTTAGTTTAACATATTAATATGACACTTCAATATTTGCATCCATAATCCTTCTACCTGCAGACTTTGATTGCTTTTTGGCCTATGAACTTTCTGTGAAACTCAGCAACACTTTGCTGGTGCCAAGAGGTTATGGGAGTGAGTGCTCCTAAATCAAAGGCCGTCTGTTTTTAGATGCATGTACTCTGGAAGGTGATCCTGTACAGAATTTGGGGGGCTTGGGGCACAGAGGGGAGGTATGATGCCTTACTGCTGCCTCTGATTCGCACTTAGGATTAGTAAAAGCATGATAGTTTGTGTTTTCATTTCAGGCTGTAGACGGTGTGCTCTGTACTTGTAACAGAATTTACAAGTTTGTACTTCCTAAGTGAAGCAGTTTACAAGTAGGTCATGTAAAATGTGAACTCATTTACAGTGAAGTGATGCCTCATTCCAACTAAATACTAACTTTCCCGAACAATGCAATGCAATGAAATGAAAGACAATGAAATAAAGCTGTGACTTCGGGGGAATGGAATGTTATCAAACAGCCGAAAAATAAAAATAAGGAACCAGTTGTTTCTTAAGTACCTGTAAGTAATAAGTCCACATGGAGTCAGTTACTCAAAGTCTTGGGGACTGACAAAACAGCCTGCAGTGACGGTTTCTCTCATAATGTATGCTCAGCTTTGGATCCTCATTTCACAACTGCAAGGCAGTTTTTTTCCCCTTTAAATCCAGAATTTCTCCACTCTCAACAGGAGATGCAGAAATGAAAAAATAAAAATTAATTCAGTTGGTAAACTGACTAAGTGTGCTGCACTGATCCTGTGCAGAATAATTATATGTTTAGCTGAAGGGTTTTCCTTAGCATGTAATTCCCTGATTTCAAGCTGGCTCATAAAAGAGAAAGGAAGGGAGGGAGGGGGGAGCTGAGAGCAAGGAAGCTGATGACGTGAGTGGACTTGTTAGCATTCATGTCACGCAGGGCTCCGGCAAACCCCTTCTCAGTCTTCCTTTGCTTTTCATTCGATCGCTACCTGTTCTGTAGCAATGTCGTAACCAGGGAGTCTCCCTCTATTTACAGCAAGTAATACATAAAATCTTACAGCATGCTGGAAACACAGCTAAATATGGTGACATACTGCAAAAGCAGCCTTCTAGGTGCTGAGCTGGATGATACTTAGCTTACTCGGTCCCCCTTCATGACCTTAGAATCCCATAATACAAGAACTCTACTTCACAAGATGCAATTTGAAACTTGAGTGGTTAACCCTGGTCATATCTTATTTAGAAAAATGTAGGGTTTATAACGTCCTTTCGGTTCTTTCTGAAGACAAATAGGTTTGGAAGAGAACTGAGAGCCATCAATAGAGATGCCCTCGGAATTAGCTTTGAATTTTCAAGCAGTTCCAATGTAAATGTTTCACCAGTTTCTTTCTACTCCCACCAGTTTCAAAACTCAGACAATTTACTGTTGTGTCTCCTTCTTGGAGGACTGTGTTCCACTTGTACTACATTTCCAGTTGTCATTAGAAAGTCACTGAACAGAATTGTCTGCAGTTCCTCTCCAATTCCTCTTACAAGTTTCAGGCTGCAATACTTTTTAGATATAAATTTTGGCAACAATTACTCTGTTGAATGTTGTCAACTGTTTGCTTTAAAAAGGTCAGAGCACACCTCAGAGTTGAATGCTTTGCAGTGTAGGTGGTTAAGATCAGATTTCAATAAACCAGCATAGGTACAGCTAAGTGTTGGAAT